CAGTAATTCACCACATTTGCTTTCACATCAAAGTCATACAAGATAAGAAATATTAAGAAGTCTCGTCTCCTTGTCTAAGGAATTGCAAGTCCTTCATTTGCATTTGCACAGCTTCTTTCGATAAGGGCATAGGCTCCAGAATTTTGATTTCGTCTGTTCCTTCAGCCAATCTCTTTGCTTTCTCATTTATGATTGTTTCTATTTGTGGCCGCCCAACTGTGGGGAAGACGGCAGTGAGTATGATAGATAGTAGTCTTTCATCTTCTTCTTCCAACGGATCTCTCCCAAAGCAACATACGTAAATAGCTTCAAGGGCTTTCTCTGCCCGAACTACCATCGGAATAGATGGGACTGGAGATCTTAGTTTTGCCCTTTTCTGCAGAAAAGACGATACCCTCTTGTATTATTAAGTAAACAATTGACACAAGAAATGTCAAAAGACCTAAATATCATCTCTGCTTCTATTAACAGATCCTATTTTCGAAGGGGATTGATGACCAACAAGCTAGCGTTCTATAATGTATATCTATAGTGATGATTTTTAGTGAACTCTAACTCTATCTTCTATGGTTTGTGGTCTCACACTTGAACTACAGAATGTATAGCCGGTTTATCAGCATCAGTTGCTTAAGCATATTGAAGATAGCAAAAGTATGATGAGCTGGGAACCAACTTGGATCACCTGTTATTAGTATAGTTTGATCTTCTCGATTGTGAAGGTTCATATAGTTTTTTGTTAAAACTAGAGACCAATTGAGTCAGTACTAAGTACAAGTTATTATTGGATTATATTTGTAGGATTTTCTAAGTCCTAAATGAGAATTAAACACAAAACTCAGTATTTTTCTCGACCAATTTTGCATTACAAGGCAAATTGTATGACTGCAAATCAAGGGTGTAGTAAATATCGATTCATTACTCAATGATGTAACAAGATCTACAGAGGGAAATAGGGTACTTCATGATTTATATTTCGTGAAAAGAATAGAGCTTCTCAACAAACTGACCTCTCTTGCTTCGTTCATCATTGCAATAAAATTTTCTTCTTCAAATTCAATATCGTTCGAAATTCGAAGCCTAGCAACCCCTTCCAATATCTCCTCAGATTTAAGCAAACCAGCTCCAACTGCAGCCAGCCAACAGCACAGCAGAACATACAGAGGATCCCCTGCCTACACATAATCCCCAGACCAAAATCATAATTCCAAAACAATTAATATTCCTTATATAATAATCATATAACAAGCTATAGAAAATAATATTAGGTTACTCTGTATCAGAAACCTAGTAATCTGTAATTGATCAATCAATCATTCCAAAAGATTATTGTAATATTCTAAATGAGTCCTGCATTGCAAAAATAAGCTTGACTTTTGGATTTACACTTGGGCACTTTTCCTTTACAAGTCGGCTTTCAATCCGAGTTCTACCCAGTAAGGTTATATAACAGTATAAAAAGACACCCTTCTTAGGGATGCTTCTTATGTCGGGGCGGGGCGACCAAGAGAGAACTACTTTCCTGCAAGATTGGCCCCGTGAAGTCTCGTTACAGCCAGTTAGGCACCCTCCCTTTCAAGCCGGTTTTAAGGGATAATGCTACCGATTGCAACAATTGCAAGAATTAAGAATAAATTTGGGTTTTTTAGGGGTGAAAGTCAGAAAAATTGAGATAGAAAGTACCCGGCCACGTCGATCTTTGAACTCGTAGAAAGCTCTAGAATCATTAATGGAGCATTTCTTTCCAACCCTTCTTCTAAATTCAGCAAAATCAATAAAATCTCCTCCAACACCTCCTTCATCACTAAAAATCCTGGCTATAAGCCCGACAACAGGGAGTGAACCGATGACCTTATTAGCAAAATTTGAAATGGAATTCTTTTCTTCCATATAAGCATAAACCCCATTTGGTTTTGAACCCTGAGGCCTCCTGGGAGTGCTACGGAAGTATAGCAAAAATGGCGAGGTGGATTTGCAGGAGGAGAAGGGGACATGGTGGGTATTTACAGAAGAATGGAGGTTAGTTTGGAGAGAGGAGAGTGCCACCATGGTGGACGTTGATATTCTTCAATTTTTGGCCTCTCGTTTATGTCCAGAGTGATTAGTATGGTTGGATATAATGTCAAACAGAAATAACCCCGTAATCATGGTGGGTAGGATAAAGCATACTACATCGTCGCATCAAGGAATGGCAAGATAACTCATACCTACAATAAATGGGAGATTATTTCTGTAATGTCAAAATGGTGAATCTAACAAAGATTTGTTTGAGTCCCATTTTTATCGAAAAATATATTTTGAAATATTAGATTGATGGAAAATATGTGGCTAATAAATAAAGAAAAATTTAGAATTTGCATTTAATATTATTTTATTAAAAAATGTGTAGTTGAAAAAGAGATAGAAAAATGTATTTTGAAAATAAGGAGATTAAGTAAGGGTATAATAAGGGGATGTTTGATTTCCATTTTTTTTTTTAAAAAAAATAGATTTTTCTATCATTTTTTTCAACCACACATTGTTCGCTAAAATAATATTATATGCAAATAAAAAAAAATTTCATTCTTTTCTAACAACACATTCTCAATTAATATACTATTTCAAAATACACTCTTAAAAAATAATAGGGCTCAATCAGTCCCAAGTAAATTTTTGGGTAATTGGCATAAGGGTTTTGCTATTGTACGGGTATACACCCCCTCGCAATGAGGGGTCTATGCCCAATAAAAAAATTGTGCTCCTTATTGTAAGGGGGATTGTACACCGTGGTGTGTACACATAGCAAAACCCTTGGCATATATACTCCCAATAACGTTTACCTTTTTCCAAATACTTATGTTGGAGCATTATTCCACTAAATCATCCAAATTTTTTGAATTTTTCTTTGTAAAGTCTTGTAAAATAATGAATTTACTTTTCCTTTTTAAATAAACAAAGAGAATAAGAAAGAAAAATAAAGAATTAATTGTAGTTATAATCCTAATTTTTTCGAAAACTACAAACGAGTCCCAATCAATTGCAATTTTTGAAAAATTAAGATTATGACTACAAAACTCGTTTCCAACGGACTTGCAAGTTAGATAACTAAACCAAGATTGAACCAATCATAGACTTTATTGAGATATGTTAAAATCTCCCTCTCAGAATTGTATACGAGACTTTCACCTATTTTCATGTCCGATCTCACATAATCTTCTTAATATCCTTTTTGTTGTTTCCGATGTATTCGATTTCTATGACATTGAGTCTACCTTTTCCTTTTTCTTCTATATGACCTCATGTATAGTCCTCTACTTTTTATTTTTAAATTTTGTTTATTTAAAGAGGGTGGCTCATAATTTGAATGTCACAAATATAATTTTAAGAAAGTTAAGAAAAAAAAAACGGGTTAATTTATTTCTTTATATGTTAAATAATGGATAAACACAAATATATATAAGTTACATAAGGGATTTTAAGTGTTCTACATATAAGTTGAGAAAAAAAGTCAGAAAAAATTAGGTCCTTTTGTTGGATGAGGCTTCCAATCTTTTTCTAGCCAAGTGTCAGGGTCAGCGCATTTTGTTGCTTAATGGAGTGTTAGTGGTTGAGACAGTTTTTATTCAACTGTGTATCGTCAGCCGATGTGCGAAATGTTCAAGACACTTGGGCAAGCAATGGGATCCTTTTTGTGATTGACGTGGAGTCAAGTGTTGAGTTATTATTTCAATGCGTAACAAACGCCTTTCTAGAAAGGAATTTCCATTTGAAGCCCTGACCACAAGCATCGAGGGCCTTCTCATGTGAAATGTTCTCGATGTTTATGAGTTCTTCTTTGAATTAGCTGAAGCAACTCATTTAATGACTCGCCATCTTCTTGCCTAATATGCTGGATACAATTTGCTAGGGCAGAACAAGAACATTTGTCAATGAAGGAGTTGATGAATTATTGCATCAATTGATTGCAGTATCAAAGCATGTTCGAGCAGTTCCTTTGACCACAATTAAGAAAGCCTTCTCCACACTGACGGTCTAGGCTCTTCTTCAAATTTTCCTTTCAACATTGGTGTATCTATTTGATTCAAGGGAGGAGGTGGGGGGAAAGGCTAGGCCTGTCTCCCAGCCCATGTACAAATTAAGAGCAAAATGTAATTTCTTGGCCCAAAAATTTGTGTTAGCCCATTTCCAGCCCATTAAAATAAATAACTTGCTCTAAATTTGATTTTATTTATAAATTAATTTGATTATAAGAATATTCTTAAAGATGAGCTACACATGGATGTAAATTAAATCCAATTTCTTTGAACTCTCAAAATTCTAAGTCGGTTTTTTATCACTTTGAATGTGATTCCTCACTTACTATGGAATATTGTGATATAAAAGATTGATATGCACCAAATATTATTTTTAAGATCAATAACATATAGGAATGTAATTTTGATTTCGTATTTTGGCCGAAACTTTCAGTTATTTGGAAAGACTGGTTGTCATAATTCTTTAGAATAATACTTATTAGGTAATCTCTTAATTTTTCGTTGGTAAATATGTATCATTTTCTTATTTGATTATGATTCCATCAGTTTATATTTCTTACGGTAAGCATATTTTCTATTTGACACGAAAAGATACAAAGATCTTTTAGAATATGACATTTAGACATCTTTTATTTCTTTGAATATCGCATACGCTTTATCGTGAATGTCAATAGTTTAACCTCGTAAATTCGATCTCTTGTGACATGACAATTTCAGCTCATTTTAACATTATTTTCTGGCTATGCCCCCGATTCGATTGGTTCAGCATTTTGATAGATGGATGGTAATGGTATCATATTTTGTGGCGTCAAATCAAAGGAAAAACCTTTTTTCTCTAATAATCAACTGTAAAACTGATTAAGATTTCATGATATTTATATATAATATTGTAATCACAACAGTTTAACAAAATTATTTTTTAAGGTATCTTTCAGCTTCGGCCTGCTCTTTTTAGCTACGTGTAGCCGCCCAGCTTAAGTTGATTTCTTTTTATATCTTCGTCATGAGGACAGACCAAGCCTCTTTCTAAATAGGGACCGATCAAGAATTGAACTAATTTTTTTATTTTTGAAGTCAACCAAGTAAGTAAAAATCCCAATAAAAAAATTTATTGGGGTAAGGCTCGCCGCTCAGTGCTCCTAAATATATACAACACAAGCCTTTTGGTCTAACTTCATTTGATGACGATCCAGAGAGCCTTCTTCAACATTGGTGTACCAATTCGATTGGCCTCAAAATTTGTGGCCACGAGTCAAAATAAAAGGAAACCTAATTAGAATTAAGCTTACAGGGATTTTTGCCAAGAAATTTTATAGGTGATGAGACGACAATATTGAATTGACTGGTTTAAAGTTGTTTTTTGTCTAACATTCAATGAAATTGTGTCAAACTGACAATCTGTCAGGTGAAATTTGTAGACAAAATGAATTAAATGCATGGTAATAGCCAAAAAGTTTAACAGAAGCATTACTTCTTAAAGCACCTTATAATTAGACCAAACATGCTACTACTTTTTTTTACCCTATTTCTCTCCACTGGTATATTTTTACAGCAAGGTGAATACTTTCACTCAAAACTTTTACAAGAACAAAATTTTATTCAAAAGTAACTTTTATTTACTTTTTTGGCTGATTTTGCAAATAAATCTCTCTAATGAGTTGGTTTAATGTATGCCAAGACGAGCCGCCCTCCATCATGGAGTTCCTTGCTGCCTCGGCCACTTGCTTCACCTTCTTCCTCACCTCATCTCCCTTTTCGCCTTCCATAAGTTCTTTCACTTTATACTTCAAGCTCTCCGCGGGCACAAATTTGTTACCCGACCCATTAACTGTTTCGACCCGTAACCCGATTTTAATCTCTTCCACTACCATTTTTGCATTCAGGGGTTGCTCCGCCATCATTGGCCATGCCAGTATCGGAACTTCTGCACTTATGCTCTCCAACACCGAGTTCCAGCCACAGTGACTCAGAAATCCCTGCACGATTTCGTGTTCAAGAATCCGTTTCTGATCAACCCATTCTTTTACTACGATTCCTCTTTCCTTTATCCTGTCTTCAAATTCGTCACCTAATTCTATTCCATTCTTTCTCACTACCCACAAGAAGCTCACTTTCGATTCTTCCAGGCCACGAGCGATTTCTGTTAACTGTGTTGATGATATTTCTGCTTGGGACCCGAATGCAACGTACAGAACTGGTTTTTTCTGTGCCAGTTTTTGATCCAACCATTTGATCCACCTACATTCCTGGTGCAATACGGGCTCCATTTTTTGTTGTCGGGCGATGCAGAAGGGTCCGACACAGAATGCTTTTGGTTTAGACTCACGGTTCCAGTACTCAGCATAAAGTGGCTCGAGCTCGTAGAAACTGTTCACCAGTAGACCATAACTTTTGGACAGGGCTATGATCATCTCCATTACGAAGTCGAATAGAGGACCTGACGGGTCCCGTTTATTAAACGGGTAGTCAAAGTCATTCCTGGTGAGCTTAATCCATGGAAAGCTGATGAGAGTGAAGGGTTCGTCGGCGGTCTCGTGTAGTGACAGTAGCCCATTGATGCTTGCATCTCTGTTAATTGCATTCACGTAGTTGCTCATACCATCGAATCCCAGCAGTTGAATGCCAAATTTCATGGCAGATTCCACCGTCCAATGGAGGAACAGATCTGATATGATACAGGTGACATGAGGAATTTTTTGAAGTGCACTTTCAAAGTAGGGCTGCATGAGTTTCGTGGCTTTGGCAAAGGAGAGGAAAAGAGACATGGACGGGAGTTTATCCGTGCTCTCAATTCCGGGAGGTATTCCGGGAATGTTCCCTGGAAATGGAAGGTCTATGATGGTAATATCGTCGCCGGAAAGAGACTGAACTATGTACGGACGGTTTTCCGGGGTGGTGAAGAGGGTTACCGCGCTGCCGCCGTCGAGGAGGAGGCGAGCAAGGTGAAGAAGGGGTATAGTATGGCCTTTGGACATGAAAGGAAACAGAACCACTACACCGAACCCTAACATTCTTCTTTGAAGAGACATTTTCTTGTGTTTGTGGAGGAAATTTTTATTTATCACGAGCTGGGTGTAGGTAACTAGCACTGACGTCCAAAATGAATTAAGAAATCTTCTATATATAATCCAACTATCCATCTTTAATTAATTTATTATTGAACAGAATTAACAATGATTAATAAAAGATGAGGCAGCTATAATTTTTTAGGTAATTTAGCCTCTGTTTTGTTTGATGGGATTAAAAAGTCAAGGTTAAAGTATCAAATTAACACTAATTTTACTGATGTTTAAAAGTCTGCCTTGCATTCACTTAAAATAAGTAAAAAGTTATACTATTGAAGCATGGACGAATCTAACAGATACTTAAGAATCAATACATATTGGTTCATGGACCAATATCGAGAATTGATTCTTTATCAACAAAATAATGCATTACTTGATGCCTTTGTTATCGAGAATTGATTCTTTATCGAGAATTGATTCTTTATCAAGTAGCTTGGTGTTTCGTTTGTTACTTGATTGAGTTAAAATAATGCGTTTAGTCACTCTAATAGACTTCACTTGATTTGATTTCAAAGTGACCAAATGAAAGTTAATAATTAAAGTAAATCGTGCACTTATATACAATAACAATAAGACAGCTCATGGAATGGCTTGTCAATAACTGACTGAAAATGAAACGCACTGGCAAAAAAAAAAAAAAATTTAACCAATAGAGAATTGTATTCATGTATAAGCACGCTCTAGAAAGGTGCCCACAAGATAAAAAAAGACAATTTAAATAACACGAAAAAAAATTAAAGTTCATGAAATGGCTTGTCAATTCTTGATTTTGTGATATTTGAGAATTTAGGCGTTAAAGTAGGGATGAACATAGTCCAGTTAAAATCGTCGATTTCAAAGAGAATGAAATTGAATCGAAATGGAACCAAAACCGACCAGTTGATTGATTCGGTTCTTTCAATTTAATGTTCTAAAATTCAGTAACCAATAGAAATGGAGTTTTTACTTTAAAAAATCTTAAGCTATAATATTTAACTAGTATAAAAATGAGCAGAAAGTTGGAGTCAAAATTATTATAAATTACACTACAAGCATATAGGAGTTTGCACATGAAATGAAATTTAGAATTTGCACATGAAATGATTCAAATTTGACCAAGTCCAACCAATATATTGGTACACCAGGTTACACCGAGTTTGATTATGGGTGTTTTAATCGAGAGTCGGACTAGAATTGATTGGTTCTCAACTTTAAAAGTGTGTTTGATTACGAATATGAAATTTGTATGAAAATAAAATAAATTTTAGGTAATTCAATTGTCTAGAATATTTATTTGTATGAAAATTATTGATTAAATGTGTTTGATTGATTTAGTTTTCAACTTAGAAAATATTATACTTGTCAATTTTTTATTAGTGGGTAAACGAGAGAGGGGGGATAGATAAGAGAGAGCAAGAAAGAGTGAATTATCTGAAAAATAAAATTATACTCCTCAAAATAAAATGTTTTCCTTAATTTTGAGAAAAATATGGTCACGTGACAAAAAATAGGAAAATGTTTTTCTTGGAAAATATATCAATCAAATAGCACAAAAGTAAAATTTCGGATGAAAAAACATATTTTCCATGGAAAATATTGACTATCAAATGCACCATAATATTTAGAGCGGAACTGAATGTAAGCAATTAAATTTTAGAGGCAATTAATGGTACAAATTGTGGTAGCGACAGTAACACTAGTGATGACAATAACAATGTATATTACTAATGATTGGAAAATGGGTGGAGCAGTGAGAGTAATGAGGAGGTTATAAGTAGTAGCAACGGCAACAAGAATATTGATTGTTACAAAAAGATAATTTGTCATTAGGAAAATATAATACAATGTGCTAGAAAATGTAAAATTAAAAAAGGGTATTTTGAAAATAAAAAAGTTTGAAATGAGTAAACTTTTTTAATTTATTTTGAATTGTTCCCTTAATTTTAACTAGGATGATGGATCACATGGAAATAAGTAAATTAACTGTCAAGTTTACAAGTCCAACCAACCATCGAGATAGACTACGCGAATCTACTGTTAGGTTGGATATTGACTCAAATTGAAATCATAGATTGTGCCAACCCTTGTCCCTAGCAAACTAAGTACCATACACCACCAAAAATAGCTCCGACACATACGCCTATTGGCGAACCAATGGAGCTACAAAGCAGCCACTGATAAACTTTTGGGTCGCCCCCTTGGTCTTCAAATAACATCCTCCCTCCGGCAAAGGCATCATCAACTAAAAACCACCTGAAAGACAAAGGATAAGGGAGAAGCACTCGAGTAACCAGTAGGTGAAGGAGACTAGGACCGACAAACATGCACCAGCCAAAATCAATTGAATAGCGTAACATATAAATATGTCAGGCTTGGTTATAGATGATCTAGTACTTGAATAAGAAGAATGAGGCATAAAATCACCCTGCTCTAAGAACATCCTAGGAAAGAGAGACCCAAAAAGAAACCAGGTTTATGCATACTTGTGTAGTTACTCCCTGCTCAAAAAAGTCGATCTTATTCCCAAACTTGGGTCGATATGTTGGGAGTCATTTTCACTGCGTCATAATTTTTTCTATCTATTGTGATCAACACAACTTCTGAGAAAACTAGGTACATTCATCCTAAATACAGTGGCTCTAATTGAGTACGGACTTGAATATACTTTAGGCAAGAAGTATTTGATAAAACATTATCTTATCAATCCCTAAAGATCAGTACACTAATCCTTGGGGATCATAAATGAAAATCTTATGGAGTCAATCTCTACAAGAAAATCCAATCACACAAGGGAATAAACTCATAGGAGATTAAATTTGCATGTCCTTGATGTGTCCACTCATATATTATTTGTACACTCAGGCACAATCCATTAGGTACCAAGATTGTGATTTCAAGAAAAAAGACCAAGGATCTTCGGTAATTTGGCGATAAAGTCAATTGTCGGTATAATTTTTATGGAGATTGGGTATGAGAGAGACAAATATACAAAGTTGTAGTTAGGATTTAGAATTGTGTTCCTTTATCTTTAATTGTGAATGGGTATTTATGGAGAAGGAGTCCTTCAATTCCTAGAAACTTTTGCTGAACTAGTGATATGTTCATGGTCACAAACGTACATAATAATTAGAATTGAATTATGTCTAGTAGGGGTTGAACGCAGTTCGGTTTGGACGAATTATGCCATATTTTCAACTAAAACCATTTCATGTGGCTTGGAATTTTTTTTTTTTTTATCAAAACAAACTAAATCATTTTATTTTTCGAACCAAACCAAACCATAATTTGCGGTTTGATTTTAATCCACGGTTTACATATCAACATTATAGTAATATATTTTAAAAAAGTTAAAATATAAGTTTAAACGAGAACTAATAATGTTAAATGTTAAATTACATTTATTATCCCATGAAGCCAGTTAATAAATTATTTTCAATGTTGATTGCTAAAAGATGTTAATAGAACGAATATATCTTTCTTCCTTTTTATTTACCCTTCCTTGTTCGTCTTTCATATTGTTACGTAGCAGTTGGTAAAATTAGAGTCACATTCAGTTGTAATAGTTTAGAGAATACTCATTTTCGCCCCGCTAGCTAGATGAAAAATTAGGATTGAATATGATATGTTTAGATGTACAAAGAATGATTGAGTTCAGGTTTATTGAGAATTGACAAATTTCATTCTCTAACTACTTTGAAAAAGTAGAAGGTAGTAGTACTAGTCAGGGAATTTTATCAGTTTTTCCACAATAAATGCGCTCTATCTTTTGTTCTTTCCAATTCACAAACAAATTCATTCATCACCTAGACATTCATTTTTTTTAATCCAAATAACAATTCACAATTGTATAATAATTTCACAAACAACAAATAAAAGAAAAAACAATGAAAAAAATAGTTTGAATGAGAATTTGAGACTTACCGAGAGAGAAGAAAGAAAGAGGCGATTCAAGTAGAAATTAGTAGGCTAACAAGCGATTTGCATTTGGGAATCGCATTTCTTTTAGCAGTAGCGGCAAGTATCAAATGTTTGAGAAATAAAAATTTAGGTTAGGGCTTTTGAAGTCGTGGGCGCGATTTGCTGTTGTAGTTTTGTTGAATTATGATTTAGATTTTCGAAAATATAAGTTTCTTTTTTTCATTTTATATCATTTGGGAATAATTTTAGTTTAGTTTAGATATCGGATCTGGGCATGTGTTGTAGACTTATAAAACCATGGGCTGATAATGATGAACTTACTTTATATGATTATTTCAGTGGGCTGGTTGTAATTTGTATTGTTAAATTAATATTTTTTCTGAAAAGTAAAAATTGTAAAATTTATAAGTTAATAAAAATAATTTTTTAATTAAAAAAATTAAAAAGAAACGGTTCACTTTGATTTTGTGCGGTTTTTGAAAATTGAAACCTAAACCAAACCATTTTGAAACGGTTTGATTCGGTTTTAGAGAAAAAATCGCAGATCCACGTGGACCTGAACCAAAGGTTTCGATTTGGTTTGCGATTTCGAAATTTTTTTGTGTAGCCCTAATGTATAGAAAAATCTTTGTCTAAATTATGTTATCATTTGCACAAAAAGCAGAATAGCTCAAAAATATCATATGCAGGATAATACCTAATAAATATACTTTCACATTGGAAGATTTTGATCATTGAACTTTATCACAAAGTCTTTATATTTCTCGTTTTTGCATCTCTCAATTTTCATTTATATGGGGGATTGTTGGAAAATAATACTCAATAGAGGCTATTTTGACATTTTTCATGCGATCGGTTTCTTTGTTAATGAATATCAAAATCAATTCATTTTTTTCGTAAGAACATCGAGATCATATATTTACTTGTCAAAAATAAGGATCGAATTAATGAGAAATTAGAGCTCAAGGTGAACCTATTGGAAGAGGTTTATGTGTTAAGAGGGAAATATTTTAGTGTGTCCCATATAAAAAAGTTGACAAGGCAATGAC